CATCATCATGAAGCGGAAGAGCAGCAGCGTACGCATACACATACACTAGTTTCATCAAAGAGGGCAAGGGAAAATGGACGAAAAGAGACTGCTGCTGCTGACGCTTCTTCTTCTTCTAGGCGGCCGAGGAAATGGTCTATAAGGTAATTCAATTTTTAGGCATGCATGCGGCAGCTTTACTTTATGCATTGCATTGCATTCGGAATCGGCAGCTTTACTTTATGCATTGCTCAGTTTGATTGATGTAACGTTGTTGAGCTAGTTTAGTTTAGTACTTGATTAAGACTTGGATCTACAACTTGTCGTCCTTACTCATGAATCTTAAATGCGTATTTACATATAACGAGTTATTGCATGGACTTTTAGGTTGCTTTTTATTGGATTGATGCAACTATCTACTAAATATAGAATATTCCAGCAGAACATGGCATGTAATTTCCAGCTTCAAGATATAATTCAGAATTTTCTATTGCTCTACATTCTCTAACAATAACCAGTCACAAAATTCTTCATTTAGATATAATGAATGATTAGAAACAATAAAATTAGGAATATAGCAAGCCACTTTGGAACAGAACAAGCATCATGTAGGGAAGAGGAGGAATAAAATTAACAATTGTATGTAATTGCGTAGATAGAATTTGCTCAGTTTGGAACCCCTCTCCCTCTTTTTTTTTTTTTTTTTTTTTCTCTTCTCCCCAGTTACACTATCATATGAGAGGCAAGGCAATACATATATTCTACCAACTTTGTGAACAGCTTTCCATCCCTTCTCCACGCCAGTCAAAAGCCCATTCCTATACATAAACACACCCACCTCACAAATCAGATGATCGTACCCACCAATGTTTGAGAAGATTGAATGTCCTGTCTACTTGGACAAAGATGCGTACTACACCATAATATTGAAAAGTGCATCTCATGCACCAAAGTGGTTGCTTACTTTGATACGGTTAATGTAGAAAATAAATAAGAAGGGAAGAAGAGTAAAACAGACAAGGCAATATAACGTGGTTCGGCTTTACAATGCCTACACCCCCCGCAAGAGAAGAGAGCTGTATTGCTTATTCATGACAACGCAGAGATAACCTTCTCTGATATATATACAAAGGAACTTTCTTGCCTGCCGACTAACGCATTAAAGAACTCTACACTTCCCAATTTTACAACAATCAACTACTTAACATAATAAATATGAGATGGAGAATTTTAATAGTCAGTTTCAACAGTTAATTCCTTCCAACTGCTGATGTCATTAAAGCAGGCTTTGAATGAAACTGCACTCCAACTTTGGGAAACAAGGAAGATCCAGGATTTAATGTAGATGCACTTGAGGTTGAGTTGTTCTCTGTCTGGGACACGTTTTTCCTCAGACAACGACAAACCAAAGAGTCTACAGCTGCCTTTGTACGGTGAAACCGTTTCCTGACTCTGCCACTAAATGTTGACTGACTTATTACAGGATGATTTGAGATACCGCGTTGATTGTAAGAATTCATGCCTCCACGATCTTCCCTGCTGAAGCTACGTTCACAAAATGAGGATGATGCTTGCTTTCCACCATCTGATTCAGAGATGTATGGAGTTCGTTTAATAACTCTCTGTTCCTCCTGGTCATGACCATTGTATACTGAATTGAATTCCGGTACCCCATTCATTGCTTGCTGGAACATTAACACAGATGATGGTGATGAAACTCGCACAGACGAGGCAGATGGGTGCACGTGTGTACTATTGCTCTGCAACATGGCACACCACCCATTTCCAAAGCTTGGCGCCCGAAAACCACCATAGATTCCAGGGCCACCATACTCATGAGCCTCATTAGTTGTGGAAGCTCTTCCATATGGTGGGCTTGGAAATATTTCTTGACCTTGCAAAACCTTATGGAATTGGAATGATTCCCCAAAGCCTATGCCGGTTGAGGTAATCTCAGAGTCCGCAAGTGACTTTCTGAGACCATTACCTCCAGCACCAGCAGCAATCCCAGGACAACTAGAACCATGAAAACTCCTCCTTGGTTCAGATGGATGTTGATTCTGACCACCTAAACCCTCAGAATGATTATCAAAACCCAAAATTTCTCGACCTTGCGAGACCTTCTGGAACCTTAAAGATTCCCCAAAGTCTGATGCTCCAATAACATCTGTACGAAAAAAAAATGTTACAATCAACAAATTATGTTGCAGAGACAGTGTCACGATGAAATTTTCTAATCTGAATGCACGACATACTAGGAACTAGAAATTCTGTTTTTGCTGCAGACAAGCCACTCCTGGCCCTCTTCAAACCAGCTGCCATTCAGCTATGAGAACTAGAAACAGAACCAGATGGCTCGATTTCCCATGGGGAAACCCTGCCGTGCTTACTTGTGTCTATATCATCCCACCTTACCTGCAAGAGCAAAAGAAAAGTTTGAAACCAATGTATTTAGTGCTAATGGCATGAACTTATCAACTTGTAAGTTAGCATTGGCATACTACAGAGCAGAGAAAACATCATTTGTGATATTTAGGTTAATACAGCTTTCAAGGCAGTAAAAAATAACTCAACAAATCCTTTTGCAGTTCTAAAGACTTGACAGCTACAATATGCAACACCGATGTCTATGAAACATTAAAAATATTTCTGAACATGATAGGGTTCAAATAATCAAGGCCCTGAGCTTCTATCCACAGGGCTATGAGTACGGTGTTTTGATCAACATAACACAGGTGAATCTACACTATTGCCTACAAATCAGGAAATCAAACCTTGATTATTGTGCACACATTTTTTTGCAACTCCAAGGCCTTTATTCCTTCCTGTAATTCAGTGCTTGTGCAGCAAGCCATATTGGCTGCTCTCTCTCTTGTATATATATGGTCCCTAAATCAATGAAAGAATTATTGTTTTCCTCTCTGTTATTCTTTCACAGGACAAATTTTGTGACAAATACGAGAGCAGATTTATCCCTTCATACCGTGATTTAGCCAAAAAGTGTGCTAAACCCTCATGACATTTCATGACAAAAACAAAGGAGTGTAGGCAATTCATTTTAGTTTTAACATGGTGAAGATGTCATACAATTTTCGTTCTTTTTTGCCCTCTTGTCCAGTGCCCCAAATGCTTCAACTCTTGTTAAAAAGGCTTACACCAGATTTGTTCAGGAAATGGTTTTGCGAATCTTAAATGTAAAATCAACAAACTAAATACACAAACAACTAACAAGGACGGGAATTTACTTCTACCCCTACCATATAGATTAGTTTAGAGAACCAAAGGTGCGGCAACAAAGCAGTAATGCATGCTCATGTAAAAGTTTAAGATAAATAAGTTTAAGATATAAATATAAATATATATATATATATATATAGAAAAGCTCTATCAAAGGTAACGGACAACTAGACACTCCATTTTGAACCAGGCCATCTTACAGGATCCAATTCACTAATCCCAGTTATCAGCCCAGTTATATATATAAAAGATCTATGAAAAGTAACGTACAACTAGACACTCCATTTTGAACCAGGCCATCTTACAGGATCCAATTCACTAATCCCAGTTATCAGCCCAGTGTATCTGCCAAAAATAAATTTTAATTAAAATTGGACTTTAAATACTTCAACCATGTCAAATTTAAGAATGCCAAACCTTCGCTCTGCTGCATCTTCTGTTTCGAAATGCATTTTGAACCACATTCATCACATCTGTGATAGTACTATAGTTTAATTGCTGGCTACGAAGAGTTGGATAAGTAGCAGAACCTTTAACCTGGGCTGCCCTTCTAATTCCTCGCCCCTATTATGAACATTGTATGAGAATCATGAATAAGGGCATCCAAAGTTTCTTGAACCGAAGGATTCATATCCCTAAGAAACAGCACTGCATCTCCGGATACGAGCTCCTTCTTGTTCACAAACGCACTCCACCCAGTGGTGAGCAAATGCCTTTGTGGCTGCCCCACTCAAGCCAATGGAAAGAAGAATAAAAATCAGAAACTCACTGAATCTAAAATATTCCATTTACAAAGTTCATAATAAAACCCTAATAAGATTGCTATTGTTTCGTGAAGAGATAAACCCCCAACTAATGCAAACAAAACATGAGATATCTTTTTGCATACCCCTATATATATGTCTGAACCTCCACTCCAGGCCATGCAGATCCTTTGCTATCAGTTCTTGTGAAGGCCTTTGTTGATTGTAATCCTACAAGCATAATTTAGTTGTCTCAAAATAAAATACGAACTTGTACTTGATTAGACTTATGAAGCATTTATAAAAATCATTTCAGGTAACGGAAGTCCCAAACAGGTTATGCTGAACTACATGTGGGGGGACAAAATGAACTACGAATACCAGGGGAGGAAAGCAATCTTCAGCAGCACGACGAAGAACAGAGAAGCCTCTGTGACCGCTAGTATCCGAAGCAGTAAGGGTTTTTGCAGAACATATGGGGTGTAGTTGACTTCCCCATTGGTTCGACATCCTCCTCCTCGCCATCGGCATCAGTTTCCCCTTCCCGCAACTCGTGTTCAATTTCCAAATCAGATTAATGCAAAATACTGACTTCGAGTTGTTGAAATATTCAATAGCATAACTGCGTTGGTTAGACATATGAAAAAAAATTACATGACCAACATGAAAACCAAAAGACAAACAAAAGTAACACTCTGGTTCTTCAAAAAAAATATTTCTATACCAAGCACGCAGCAAGAGCACCAAAAGAAACTAAATTGTCCTTAAAATAACACACGCAGCACAAAATGAAACTAAACTTACCCACACCTGGACTTATAAATTCATTCTTCAAACAGCAATACACTACTAAAAAGTTTTTGCCCACAAAACACAGAGAGGTAGAAGTTGGCTGACAAACACATAATAGATCGTTATACAGGCGCATGATAGACCCCACTGCAAGCAACACGTATGGAATAATACTTGGAGGGTGATGAAAATTAAAAAGAAAACATAAATATAAGCAAATTACCAGTATGTCACCTAACGAGTAGCTGATGTCAGTAGCCTAAAGCACTAGTATTCCAACCATTTTGTAGTTACAATAGAATAACAGATAGTTTTTGCACCAATTCTGGTGAGATCTATCATAAAACCAAACCATCGAGAACTTGAAGCTCTTGCCAGGTCCTGGACTAATCCACGGCAACAACTACCTGTGTAGATTACGCATTACCCTCCTACTGCACAAGAGCTTCAACTGTTCACGACTTCTGAAGCATGCAACTCTCGTACAGTTCAAGCCGTTCTCTTTTGCTAGCACCAGTTCTCATATCCAGCACTCGGGCACCAAAATTATATTTTGTGAGTTCTTGCTTAATTTTTGTGACACTGAACTTTCTACAGTCTTCCGAGTTAGTTTGCTGACTGCGGGTATCCTCATCTCCCTTGAATACTGAACCACCATCTTCTGCTTGTTTGTGCTTTAGAGGGCTAGTATTACTTCTAGACCTCTTATTTACTCTTACAGTCCGGTCACTCATCTCCATGTCTTGAACAGAGTCCATGCCCATTTCACAGTCATCTACCCTTGAGCATTTCCCGTGGGAAGCAGTCTTTAGCTTGCTATCCAGTGCTGTTTCATTCAGCTGAACAGAAGTCAACTCTTGCTGGAGTGAATCAAGTTTTGCCTGTGCAGCTTGTAGCTGAAGAGACAGGGAGTCTGCCCTATTGTTTGCATCTGCGTGTGCTGCACGCTCACTGTCCAGAAGGCCTTGAAGGATGTGAACAGTACTAGTTCTTGGCTCATTATTTGATTTTAATAATGATTCTATTTCCGTCTCTCTTTCTTCAACTCTTGCCTCCAGATGAGCTCCCGTCTCTGATACACGAATTCTCTCTAACTCATCATCCAAGGCTCTTTTTTCCCTTTGCAAACTTTCAATATGCCTCTCAGCCCTCTCAATTTGGGCCAATCTTTCCATTGCCAACTTCTGCATCTCACTCTTTTCCTTTTGAGCAACATCTGCTTGAGCTCGTGCTTTATCGGCAATATCAGTCGCTCTTGTGGCTTCTTTTTCAGCCATTTTACACGTTTCTTGGACTTCGTCAAGTCTTTTTATTTCAGATTCACATGTCGGCCCCAGAAAGATCTTCTCCTGCTCCAGTATCTTTTTCTCTCTCTCAAATAAATGGGCCTTTGCATTTGCAGCTTTAATTTTTTATTTAAGTCCTTGATTTCAAGCTTCAGAATCATAACTGTCTACTTTTGATTTGGCAGTCTGCAAAGAATGTGTAATAGTAAAGTACCTCATCATTGATACATACGCACATCCTTGAAAAGAGAAAGCACAAAAGAAAAGCAAACACGTACAAAATAAGAATTTTTCTTCATCCGAATTTCAATGAATTGGAGTATGCATTAAGGTGTCTGAGTGTGCCTCTGTGTGTGTGTGTGTGTGTGTGTGAGAGAGAGAGAGAGAGAGAGAGAGAGAGAGAGAGAGAGAGAGAGAGAGAGGATCACCTTCTCAGCCAAACTACTAGCGAATTCTTCCCTCAAAGCATTCAATTGGTGAAGGCGGAGAGGAGGAGTAGCAGATGAAGGCTGCATTGGTGAAGAAGATGGCAATTGGTTTTGTAGTTGGTTTTATAGGCTAGGTTGTGTAACAGGTGATGTAGGAGATACTGGTAAAACGACTGGAAGTTTAAAAGAAGGAGGACAAAGACATGAAGTAGAACTGGGACAAGGAGAAGGCAGTTTCTGAAAAGGAAAAGTAGCCTCATCATGTGCATTGCAGTATTTGAACATTGCAACTCTGCCTCCATATATGCATGAATAGCCAATTTAAATTAATAAGACCAGTATATAAGAGATGAGCTAATAAGATATACATATCCATATATACTGCCAACAAACTATTTATTATGACAATGATTTTAATTACATATGAGGCAAGAATACTTTTAAGATTCTTATCTTTGTCTTTAATTATTAAGATACAAGCCAAAAAAACTCTTGGCAATACAATCTCAAAAGAAAAGAGATATTCAACATATGCACAGTGTGCATGTATCGTACTATATGCATGTGTGTAGGTGCATTTGCGTCTAGGTGTGTCTTTGATTCTAAGTGGCCAAGGTCAATTGAAACAAACTGTTTTTCAATTTAGTTCTAACTGCGCCCACATCCTACTACAACTAAAGTTCGTCTTATCTAGTACTCTACCTCAAACTCCTTTTTCAGCTTTTTGTGGATAAAAACTAATAATTTAGAGCCTGTTGCAAAATACCACCCAATAAGAGAGTTCAAGGAGTACACAAACCTGCCATGAAGACAATATGGTAGGCACCGCGCCTTTATTTAGAGCATCAAGATAAGAATGTGTGATGCCAACTAGAACCGGACCCGTCATCATAGTTGCCCCAACTTGCTTCGGCCTTGTTCTTTCAAAAACAGACCTTGTCAATGTGTCTAGCCCGGATCTGAATTCAGGCCTTAATTTGTCCAACTGCATTAGAAAAACTTAGCCTTCAACACAACTAAATATCAATAAAGAAAGTAACAGATTTGAGTATGACCAACAAGAGAGAGATCAAAGACAAGAGTAAGTCACTGACCTGAATTTCGTCAAGTCTCTGTAGATCATGTTCGTTGTTCAAAGGCCGTACAAGGGTGAAGCATTCTCTATCTGGAAATAGGGCTAGAATGGAGGCCCGTATCTATATTGGCCATTCATACTGTACAATTAGGGGCACCATGTCCAACATACATAGATAACATAATTCAAGAGTAGCAGTGCTCAATGTACCTAGAATGTCATAAATAGTTAACAAGCGTAACCTAAAAGCAAATAATGCCAGTTTAACAATACAGGTATGAATTGGCAAGAAAATTCTTGACAATAAAAGGTCAAGATTGCTCTCTCTCTCTCTCTCTACTAAAAAAATGCAGAATCTTGTCAAACGAACTAAGACGAGCCACATAAATACCTCATTTTTCGCAACTACATCCCTTTTTCTGTCATCATCTGGCTTCAAAGAAAGCTCCAGATAGTCACAGGGCGTTATCCTTCCACTATCCTCGGATAAATCCAGATAGAAGTCCTGAAACCAAGGCAGAGTAAATTACCACAAAGGGAAAGCCACAGAACATATTCTACTCAATACACTGTGTATTCATACGTCGATCAAAAACAAAATAACCACAACAGAGGAACCATTAGCATAAGAATAATAGGATTACAATAATTCTTGTAGTAGATTAAATGCTTTAAGTATTAGGCCCCATAAGTTCATTCAACTGGTGGGGAAGCAACAGTAGAGTAAGCTTAGTGGTCAGAAGTTCATAGAGTGCAAGCAGGGGGGGGGGGGGGGGGGGGGGGGGGGGGGGGGGGAGAGAGAGAGAGGGGAATCAGGGAAGGGTAAATGCTTTAAGTATTAGGCCCCATAAGTTAATCAATGATTCACACCCCAGTTTTGGTTGCAAGAGCATGTAAATGAAAACAAGCCCCCCAAGGAAGGACACAAAAACAAAAACAAAAAAAAACAAAAAAACAAAAGAAGAGAAGTCTCCACTATCATTTATGCTTAACATTGAGAGAAAAAGGACGATAATTTTACCTGGTTTAGAATGAAGCTCTTCCCCTGGCAGTGGCGAGGATGCGGTGAAGAACCGGAGGAAGCGTCTCTTCCTCTGAAGAACCTCCTTATAATTTACCGTTGTTCTAGGTTCAAATTTCGTCTTGTGATCTTCGCTTTTCCTCTGTTTTAGTTGATTCAGCTTCTCCTGAGATTTCCATTTCACTTCACTGATGGTGTCGCGCTTTGTTTGCTCAAAACCCGGTGGTTAACGGTTTTTCCGGTTTTTAAATTATTATTATTATTATTATTATTATTATTATTATTATTATTTTAGATTTAATGTGAAAAAGGGGCCCAAAGAAAAAGGCCCAAGATCAGATAAATAAATTAATAAAAGGCCGAAATATCAGAGGTAAAAGGCCCAAATGGTAAGAAAGACCAATGAGATCCATAAAGGCTGTGTATCTATATATGCTAGTACATCAGCTGCTCCTTTGAAACTGAAATGAAGCGATAGCCGCCACTGCCTTCGACAAATCTCATCATCTCCTTCTCTTGATTTGGCCAAAACCAAAGCTCATCTCTTCTCTTTTATTCTCTTGAGGCCAAAACCAGCTCCAAACTCGAACTCAGGTCTTAGTTAAGCCAGCTACCAGCTACCAGCACCAGCACCATTTTACGAACTCGGTAGATCCTAAAACCACAAATTCATTGTTAATAACTGTTTTTGGTTTCATCTTTAGCTAATATTTTCTTTTTTCCTCTTTCTCCAGATGGATGGCTATGGCTTTTGCTGCCCAGATTGGGCAGGGCGCGTGTTTTGCTTCCAAGGGCGCGTAAGATCCGCACTGAAAAGGTAATCTCCAGCTCCAAAACGATGTTTCAAAAAAATATTGCCGTTGCTTCAAAATTCAAATATTTTTTCAAAATTTTAATTTTAATTTTTAGCCGTGCCGTTGCTCCCAATTGTGCTCTTTTTTCTTTTTAAAAAAAAAAACAAAAAAAAAAAAAGGCCAAATCCCTAGCATTCCCAATTCCTTCAACAACAATAAATAGCCGTTGCTCCTAAACCCTAAATTCTTCATTCAAAAAAAATATTTCCGTTGCTTCAAAATTCAAAATTCTTTTTTAGCCGTTGCTTCAACTTTTTTTTTTTTTTTTTAGCCGTGCCGTTGCTCCCAATTGTGCTCCTTCCTATATAATCCCTACTATTCCCAATTATTTCAAAAAACATAGCCGTTGCTCTTAAACCCTAAATCCTTCCCAATTTTCTCTTCTTCTCTGAATCATTCCCAATTTACTCTCTTCTCTAAATCCTTCCCAATTTTCTCTTCTTCTCTGAATCATTCCCAATTTACTCTTTTCTCTGAATCCTTCCCAATTTACTCGTCTCCTCTGAATTCTGCTATGGCTTTGCAGTGGAGGTTTTCTGAGGACGCCCAGTTGACGCGAGCCGTCAACAAATACGGCATCTTTAGTTGGGATTCTGTATCTGCCGCCGTTGGCAGTCGATCTGCAAGGGAGTGCAAGGAAAGGTGGTATCATTGCCTTGATCCTCGCGTAAGAAAGGTAAAAACTTTTAGATGTTGGTTTTTCTTGGTTTCTTTACTTCTTCTTGTGGGTTTAATATTATTATTTTTGGTTCAGTGCGACTGGACTACAGAAGAGGATAAAGAATTGGAATATCTTCATGGCATGTTCCCAAACAGCTGGACTACCATATCTGATAAGTTCAAGGGGTCGAGAACTCCGTCTCAGTGCCAGATTAGGCACCAAAGGCTGTTTCCTCTTGGGATGCCTGTGCCCATCTTCAACCCAGATGGTGCCATAGTTGGACAGGTTCTTCTTTGTTATATTACAAATTTTAAATTTTGTCATCTTGTGTTTTTTGTTACTGAAGTCTCGGGTTTTTACAGTCTCCTGATCTTTCTCCTGATGTGGTTGCCCCTGCCAATACCCATACTCCTGACCTGGACTTAAAGAAGAAGAAGCCGATCTTGGTTGTGGAGTCCAAGTCCAAGTCTGAGTCTGCCCATACTCCTGACCTGGACTTAAAGAAGAAGAAGCCGATCTTGGTTGTGGAGTCCAAGTCCAAGTCTGAGTCTGCCCTCTACTGTCTGAGGACCCTCTGCCGCAATGTGAAAGTGGCGGATCATCTGGTAGTTTCACCTTTTTACATGTTTGCACAAGTTTCAACAAAATGGTGGATACACCTAATATGTTTTTTTTATCCTTCTTCTTATTCTTCCTACAGTCCAAAGCTTCATCATCCACCAAAGTGGACCCCAAACTTGGAAAGAAGAGGAGGATTGATGATGTCAAACAGCCGCTCCTGCATTCACCAGAACCAGAACCGGAGCCGCTGCCCGGGCTTAAAGAAATCGGCATCTTCGGCTCAACGAGGATGAAACCGTCGGAAATGCAGCTTGTGGAGACTCTTACCCGCGGTTTACTGTCGGAGGTGAGTTTCCTCCAAAACCAATTATGAATACTGTTAAACATTAAAATCCACCAAGTCCTGTACTGTTAAACCAATTGTGTATTCTTCTCTTCAAATAAATATGAACGTTGTTTCTACTTCAAAGTTTTAACAGTCTAATTCCAAGTCCTTCCTAATGCACCAACACTAACCATACCTAACCCCTTCACACATAAACTAACAAATACCATGTTTTGAGTAGTTCCTTCATATTATTTCTCTGTATACATTTGTCTGATTGTTTGCACTCGCCTAACTTTTGTAGGGATTCCACATTGTCACGGTGTCGATAGAGATGGGGACGTGCAAGGCTGTGATGAGAGGATTGGCAGAGGCTCACTGCACGGTTCTTCCCAACGAGAGAGATGCTGTTGCGCGGGTGCAACGGATAGTTGCATTTGCATACCGCAACAGCACTATTGTGCTGGCAGCATGTGCACATGCCAAGGCGGAGGGAAAGGAAGCCCTTGTTTTCTACCTGGACTGATTTTTGTTTCAATATCACCGGAATCTAGCTGTTTACTTTTTGCATTATGGTGGTTCATCTCGAACTGCACAATTCTACCTTAGACTGATTTTTGTTTGTATATCACCCGAATCTCGAACTGCACAATTGAATAGAAATCTATTTTCTTTTTACTCTGTCTTGTATTTGGCTTGTTTCTTTTTAAGGTGACAATTAAGCATCTAAACCTCCTTATGAATTTTTACTGTGAAAAACCTTTGTACCTCCTTAACCGTGATCTGTTCATGTTCACTGCTTGATGATTTTGATTTATCCACATCAGAAAAATGTACCCGAGGGAACTGCTAAAAAATAAGGCAAAAAGAATTAGTGAGAAAATTCTGCACTTTCTGATTGTATAAAATATAAATTGAAGCTGTACAGGAGCGATTTGGTACCTGAAAACTTGCCATAGTCAATTCTAGAGACTTTCCAATTCTGAAGATGGAGAAGATTGGCCTCATACATTTTACCGTCCAACAAAATTGACACGAACAGATGGTTATTAGGGAAGACATACATTTGCATTCCTTGTCATTTATTGCAGGTAACAAAAAAAGTTCAAGAACCCAAATGATTAGATACATGCAAGTAAAAGTCCTTTTTATTGTTTTTTTGTTTTTTGTGTATGAAAAGAGGAAATAACAAGATGCAGATATAAGATTCAAAAGAAGACTTGATTTTGTGATGCGTAAATATGTACAAAAAAACCTACTACCAAGTCTTCTGACAGTTGGAGGCAACCCCAATATATCCATTATACAAGGGTAAGTTCAAGGTTTCTATCTTTAGTTCAGTCTGCCTGAATTGTTGAAATGTGCCATGATCTCATTATTTAGTCGTTTCCTGATTTTATTTGCAGGCTGTTTCACAAATTAGACCAGAATAATAACACATACATATCATCACATGAGCTGAGAGCATTGATCCTAGGAATACAAATAGAAGAAGTAGGTCTGGATGACGACGATTATGCAGCAAAAGTGATGGAGGAATTTGATATCTCTGGTGATTCTCAAATAGTTGAGACAGAGTTTGTCAATGGAATCTCAAAATGGATTAATCCAGCTAAGCCCTTTGCCAACGATAACAGTCATGAACATAAATGGATTTTTAGAAGAAATCCCAAGGTATAAACTCAGCCATATATGGTATATGGTAGGGATATATTCCAATGCTAAAAGAAAACTACAGTCTCATCAAGATCATTAATTTGCAATTGCAGAATGAGAAAACTAAGGAAGCCAGAAGAGGCCGGTGGAGAAGAAAAAGAAGGCTAAGGGTGCTGATAAATCTTGGACGAATCTCGTGAAAGCTGCTTATCTATTAATTCTAGGTACTGGCATTACAGTTTTGCTTGCAGTGCCCCTCATGCAAACTATGCAAGAATTCTCTACTGCTGCAAGCATCCCTTCATTCTTAACCTCGTATGTTTGATACCCTGGGCCACAAACTACAGACTAGCACTGAGATCAGTAACTTCTGCTAGAGAGAAGACAGATAATGCCATATATCTTTAACACTTTCTGAGGTCTGTGTCTCTCACAAGCTCAAATCTATCTTCTTACTAAAGGAAGCCTTGATGATTGGTTTTTTATATAGCAATGACATGAGTTTACTAATGTTTGATGAAATGTTGTCTGCAGATAATCCATGAATTTTGTAATAAATGATTTACACACTTAGAGAAAAGGTCAACAAGAGAAGTACAGAAACTCAGATTCCAAATTAATGACATGAACTAATTATTTCCTATATTTATATGCATTCAAGTTAACTCTTCCATTATAAAATCAGTCTATCATTTCAGGCAGTCCTAGTACTAGCCATTCAGCATTGTCTTGTCTCTAATTGAAGTGCGCCATGGCAGAAAGAATTAGCCCTTTCTTTCTCTGCCCACTCTCAACCTTGTTAACTGTGGCCGCAATGATTTTGGTCCATAAGATTAATCTTCCTGTTTCAAGTGTTCATGCTTTTGTTGGATCATTAGTAGGAGTTGGGATTGCAGGCAGATGACCCTAGAGTGAAAATTTTCTTTAAGGAATGTGGGATGACACTTCTTCTTTTTGCTAGAAAATAATAGTGTAGGTTTTATTGCCGATTGAAGTGTAGGTTTTGTTTTTTCTTTTTGGGTTCAATTAGAAGTGTAAAGAGAGGCGGTGAACACGTCGTTTAGGGGTTGGGTCCCATTTGAGCTTTGTATCACCGTTCAAAACACCACGTGCTACCTACCAGTGACAAATGGCTAGTATGTTACATGTATGTGATTGTTGAGGTCTTTCTCTACAATATAAAATTACTGTCAACAGCTTTCGCTCTAAACCCAACAATGGCGGCCGCCGTGTCATCACCATGCTCAACTTCGCTGATGACACACAGAAACCAAGTCTCAGAGTGGATTTCAGACATGGGTTTTTGAAAAGCTTTGATTTTGGCCAGCAGAAACCACTCAAATGGAAGACTTTCCAGCTCAAGGAGCTCGTGGTCTCTGCTATGCTATGCTAGCACTGACAATGCAGTTTCGGTCACTGATCCTGTGCCTTCATTGACTCGCTCTAAGTAAGCACTGTTCGTGTTTTAAATTTGTTTGCTCTCTGTTTTACTTTTCCATTTCTGTTGGTACATTTGGTGCACTTTTTGGTTTAAATTAGCTTGTTTTTGGTCTTGAAGTTGAGGGGTGTTGTTGAGCTCAATATTGTGGGTTTTGATATTTCAGTTGGTTGATCAAGTGGCTTTGCATCGAACTGTTAACACTGTTGCTTCTGTTTTTGTTTTTATTCATATTTAATGAGAAATATTGCAATTTTCCAATTCGTAATTGGCTATAATTTAATTGTTCCAAGCTGATTTTTTAAGCTGTGCTGACTGAGTGGAATTCGATGGAGACCGGAACTAATTATATACTTACTGTTCAATTTTGAACTTAAGTTCAAAGAATGCACCAATGGAGTGAATAACTGATTTGGGAGTTCTACTGTTATGGCGAGGTTCGAAAAAGTAAGTGCAGGAATGGTTGTGTCATGAGAAATGAGAACGACAGAAATGATTATTCTCTTTCTGTTTCTTTTTCCTTTCTAAGCTTCTGTAATGCATACAGATGGAAATAAGGCTATACTTGTAAACAGGAAGTATTCCGTCTAAGCTTTGGCTATATGCCAAATTGCATAATGAGGGGATGAATTCCCATACCTCATTCGACTGCGCCGCTATAGTCTTTGAATATATACTGGAATCCTTTTTTAAATAAAAAAATTTACCTTGATTTTTGTTTATCGATAAGAGTAGTTTAGAGAGTTTTATCCATTACTATTAAGGAATTACCCGAGTCTCTATTGTCCCCTTTTGATTTTTTACTTTTCTATAGTTATTACCTGTATAATTTTTTTTAGCATTTTCCTTTTGATTACTCATATTATAAATGTACGCACGTATTTTTCAATAATATTTTTGTTTTCCATACACGACTTAAAGACTCGGTAAAATATATGTTTTTAAAAAAGATTCGAAGTAAGGGGTGGGCTCTGTCCAGATTGGATATGTTTCACCTCAAAACTACAACCGAACCAATTATGATATAATGGTTAGTTCGGTTCAATTTTGACAAAAGTCATTTAGGAAACCAAATCAAACCAAATCAATTTAAGACAATTTGGGCCTAAGCCCAATTCCCTTTCTTCTGTACATTTTTTTCGCCATTGTTAGACCAATTATAACCAACAAATTCACAACTTGTTTCGTACGTAAATCATTTTCTAGAGTATGAAACCATCCTCAAGATCAACATGCCATAAAACTTCAAATTTCAATAACTAATATAGCTCAAGTCAAATATTCATATATAGTTATTACCTAATTAGAGTATTATACATATAAAATGTAATATAAATAATTAAATATACACATAAACGGTCCAATGTGTTTTAGGCTGGTTTATAAAAGCTCCAAATCAAATTAAACTAAATCATATACAGTCCGGTTTAATTTTTAAACTGTTTGATTTTTTTTCTTGTTCAAAATCAAACCAAATTGTACTAGTTTGGTTTGCCTGGATTGATGCCCACTCCTAGGGCAAAGTATGTATATTATTATCATGAACCAACACAAGCCTACAACATTACCATCTCAAATTGATAACTACACTAATTGCTATTAATAGTATCATTTGGTTTCAAGTACTTGCATTGATCTGCCATAAAAAGATTTGCAGAGATTTCTTGGAACATTAACTCGTTTCCAGAAATCAATCAATGAATTTTTCAACCACCCCTTAAGTTTTTTTATTTGTTTGCTCAATGTTAGGAAAGGAAGGGGGGAGGGGGGGAACTCACACATACAAATATTATGCGTGAGCTTGAATCCAAGATCACTTAGAAGCTCACCCAAAGCTTGGGCCAATCAAACTGACACCCCATTGATAACCACCAAAAGAGTTGTATAAAGACAACAAATAGTGAAAACGTAAAGTAGTGCGGGTACCAACTATGCATAAGAGCCCAAGTATATGACTAAAAGATGGGCCTAAATAGAAAAATTGTAGCCCAATTCTCCCACAGACTAAGCCGAATGTCCAAGCCTCTTGGTCCTCTTCACTAAAGTCAGCGAGGGTTACCAAACAGATTTTAATCTTGCAAAGAATATGTGCTGATTTGACCACCAATGGAAGCAAAGAGAGGTGATCAAAGTCAAACCCCTTATGGTCTGCTGCATACATTTCTTTCTAACACGGCTCATTCAAATGCACCCATTGATTTTTGCGATCCCTTGCTGCACAAGTTTCTCCACTCCAAAAAAACAAACAATAAAACACGTTAATACGCCGCATCTGTGTAACAACAACATCCCTTGCTTTGATCTTCAGCAATCAAACCTCCCCTTTTGTTCCTCAGCCCTTATTATTTTCATTATCTTTTCTTTCTTTGTTTGTTTTTTGGTTCAAATTATTTTTATTAATTAATATTCTAAGGTGAAGCGTGCAGCTTCTTTGTGACATTGATAGCTTTATTAATGCACCTTCTTCTTAATCAAAGCTGGCAATTCTTGTGCTCTAAGATATGCCAGCTTATTGGATACCGTGTTCGATCACCTGCTTCTGCTCTGCCCTTCTGGGTCTCTTGGCTAAGGCCTAAGGGTCTGATTGTTTGCTTAGCAGAGAGTTTTCGATTTCGCCATTTCTCCCGATTTTTCTAGAACCAAATAAGTTTATGCAGATGTATTAGCAGAGAGGATCATCATAAGTCAAAACTTAAACCACTTTATAATGTCCTTTGAAGAAAAGGTGGCACTTTTCAACTTTAAAACTAGCAATCTCGGGGGGAAGAAAGAGTTAAAAAAAATGAAATCAATGAGAATTAGGATTGTTTAATAGGGAGAGGTGTAAACGTGCCAATTAAAATTCAACTTATTATACTCTAGCCAGCTTTCAATTCTTCTTCTGCTCTGTTTCTTATGTAATCTTCATGAATTTGAGGGAGGTTTGAAAAATATAAAATGCCAAGTACATAGAATCTACAATCTACATCGATAAAGCCGCACAAATGATTAGAACAACCGCACAAGTCGATGTGGGAGACTTTAAAATTTAATCCCACTTCTTATTTTAAGCAATTAAGTCCTAAAATCCTGCATGAATTTAGCAGCTGGATTGAGCCACAAGTTTGCAGCTGAGTTCCCATTCATAATTTAGAGCACAAAAGCATATATATCTTAGCTGTTCACGCGTCTATTTTTAGTGCTTTATATTCCCCAATTCTCAATCTTCTCTCTCCCCTCATATCTACTTTGTGTGAAAGTGAGAGAGAGTTGGCTTTGAGATTTGGTAACATGGCTGTACATAGTGATCCTCATGCAGCAGAGGTTGCATCTGAAGCTATTCTAGAGAACGTGTGGGCGAGCTTTATCGGTGTGGATGGAGTGAAAGAAGAAGCAAAAAAGACAACAGAGTTGTCTAAACCCTGGAAAGAACTGCCTCCTCTTGATGGGAGAGAAGGGTCAATGGAAATTCTAGAAAGGCTACCAAGTCTAGGTAGGTGGATATCAATGGGAACTGAGGCCTGGCAAGAGCTTCTTGACAGTTGTGTTGTTCCTGGACACAATATGGAAGTGTCAAGCAATGTCAAGTTAGAAGGCAATGGGGCTACAAACTCAGAATTTGAAGCAAAGGTTGAGAAGAGAAGGGAGAAAGTGGAAATTATGAAGCACTACCGCGGAGTTAGGAGGCGGCCATGGGGTAAGTATGCAGCAGAAATTAGAGACTCAACAAGAAAAGGAGCTAGAGTTTGGCTTGGGACTTTTGAGACTGCAGAGGAGGCAGCTTTGGCTTATGACAAGGCTGCTTTGAGAATTAGAGGCTCAAAAGCCAATCTCAACTTCCCTCTTGAAACAGTTGCAAAGGCTATGGGGTTAGATTGCTTCAACATCTGCTCATCCACAAATGTTCCGAATTCGCGGAAGAGAGCATTGAGGGAGTGGGAAGAAAGTGTTGAGGCAATGACTGATGGAAAACCTGCATTGAAAAGGAAGGCAAGCATGAAAAACATGTTGGGGGATGAATTTGATGTGTTTGAGTTCCAAGACCTGGGAAGTGAATATTTGGACAGTTTGCTGTCTTCTTTTTGACAAAAATCTTGTACATGAATGCTTCTGTCTGTCTCTAAACATTCTTTGTAGTTGCTAGTCAAGGAGATGCTGTATAAGGTTTTTTTTTTCTTTCAAACTAGCCTTAGAGGAAGAGTTAGCATAACATCATATAAATAACCAAATTTCCCGTGTATTTTGCAACATTGATCAACATGGTGCTAAGTTAAGGTTGCATGATTTGTTCAGATGGAGAGGGAGATAAAAAGAAAAAAGTTGGAAAATGATAGGACATATCAGAACAGATTCTAAACAGAGACATAAAGGTTTCCGTGTAATAGTTCAATTCAATTATTGGTCATATCTCTCTTCTAAAGAAGAGATGCCATGCCATGATGCCAAGTTCAAATTCGCCATCTCTATCTCAAGTCTATCTATTTTCACATGTTCAACCATCTTTTCATAATTAAAAGGTAAAAATAAAGCAAAGCCACCCACTACAAACCGACCTTCATTTTTTGTAATTAATTTTTTTTTGGTCTCCCTATTCAAGGTCAACCCTACTATACCTTCAACTTATCTAATTACTTTTTTTCCCCTTTTTTAATAAGAAAATTTTAAAATGTATTGTAGGCATTTTACTAGTCTAATCCTCTATAACAAACGAGGCCAAAAAGTTTTTATATTGTATACCCACCAACCAAATGCTGGCCCGTTTGACAAGTATACCAGGTAAAGAATGACTGTCAAATGTGAACAGGTTGAAGATTGTTTGTGTTCCCATTCTGTGGAACCAAATGCTTATTGGTTCTCATCAATTTCATATTTTTCTCATGAAGTTAGTTTCCACAAACAGATTACCTTCATTTCCAAAACCAGAAAATAAAAGATGGCATTAACACAAAAATTCCAACTGATTCAGTCTTATAGGTCTTTCTTCTTCACCCATAACTCTGCATCTTTCTGGCCTTACTGGCCCTCTTATTACAATACAAACCAATAAAATTCACTTCTTGCGGCAGTACATTTCTGTACCTCTGTTTTTTTTCTTTTGCTGTGAATTACGTTTGTGTGTTTGTGAGTGTTGGCAAAGCAACAAATCATACACAAACCATGAGAAACTAATATACACAGGCTATGACAAGAAACTGGCTAATTAGAAAAGAAAAAAAAACTTGCACACTTTCCCACACCTTCAGCTCTGCAACTAGTATATGAGATGAAATTTAATGTCCTAATGCTTGGTAGACAGAAATGAAAAAAGACAGAACCTTTCTAGATGATAGGACCCTGCGTATTTTGTGCCTCCACATTACTTGTGCTGCTCTGAGATTCTGATCTTGGTGTCCCAATTGAAAGCAAACTAGAGCTGCCACTTGAGTCTGAAGTTGTGCTATTACTATTTGAGCTGCAGGGTACACTAAAACTTGGCCTAACTCTATGAATTGAAGACGATGGCGAAGATGAGGCAGCCACTACATCAGGTGGGAAATTAAGCAGGGCCTTAGTACCTCTCATTCTAAAAGCTGCTCGATCGTATGCCAAGGCAGCTTCTTCGGCTGTGCTAAATGTTCCTAACCATACACGAGCACCGTGTCGAGCAGAGTCACGGATTTCAGCAGCATATTTGCCCCAAGGGCGCCGCCTCACGCCTCTATAGTGCTTCTTTCCAATGTTCTTAGAGGGTTCGAGGCCATTTGGTTGGTGATTCATTTGGTGTCTTTGTGGCAAGTATGAGGGGTTAATAACCATGGCTTCATTTAGGACTTGGTATATGACCATGTCTTGTGAGTCATTCTCATTCAATGGTAGCTCATTTTGTGTGGAGGCTGAAACCATGGCTTCCTAGTTCTTCCTAAGTTTTCTTCTTCTTCTTCTTCTTCTTCTCCTCCTCCCTTATAAGGTGCCTTTTGAATTGGAAAAAGAAAAGCTTTCAAGATTGTGACATATGGCTCTACACTTCTCTTTAACTTTGGACTAAAATACGGGACAAACGTGGGGTCAAAGAATTTTTTTTGGCACGAGGGAGGTGATAGACACCAACAAAGATAGAATTAGGACTAATTTTCCACCACTTGATTGTTAGGTGCTGAACGACTTTTGCCCTTGGCTTCCCTTGATAATACACATTCCCCAACTCCTATAATTCATTTTTCTCCCAAAATAATCATACCAAGCATTAACTGAAAATGGAAAATTTTGAAATTCAGAGGTTTTTTGTGGTATAGGCTCTTCGAGTGATTTTGGGGTTAAAGCATCGATGCCCCGAAGATGGGTTGAAGAGGTGATATATTGCTACTCATAAGATTGTCTTCATAACATAACTTTAATTCAACATGTTCTAATGTGCGGATAAATGTTATTTATGTATCTAAAATTAGAAACACGTTACGAAAGCGATAAATAATTGACATATATAATTATTTTTCTATAAAAATAATTTGGCAATTCAGATGCAATACAATGGAAAAGTATGGATTAGCTTCTTCACATGATATGGGGTAATGGGTTGGTAAAGTCAACAAGGTGTGTGACTCTATGCAAAGAGTGCATGAAGACGTTTCTTGGTGGATTTGGGATGACCATAAATTGGTCATATGCATTATCCCATTTTTTTCAACTTTTTGTGTATATGACGTCATCATGGTCGTACATTATACTTTTCAAAGTTGGTAGGTCCTTTTGAAATTGACCCTAATTCGATCACACCTTGACTTTTCAACCATTTGTTTAAGAATGATGAAAAGACTTCAAATCAAAAGCAAGCAACAGCAACAGAGTCCTAAAATTTTCGTGAACATTGAAGAAGATGGGGGACAATTAAAGACTAGTGATAGCTCACGTGCGTTGAATTGAATGAACATGAAGACTATGTTTGTTTGTTTTTTAGAGTAAAGCGATAATTGTATTCATAACTTAGACATCAAAATCATCAGCTATAAGAGCATAAACTACCCAAAAAAAGTTAATAAAAATATGAAAGCACAGTAATTACACAGAGAAATACACCACAAAGTATATCTCCACTCATAATGACATTAGATTATGCCAATAAAACAGAATTAGTTAATGAGTCACCTTTAATAATAGATGACTAATTTTTCTTTTTTTATCAAATTGTTGGTAAACACGTCAAATCTAGGTTCGAACCTCTTATGTGTGAATCGACCTTGCACACACATAAGCTATGGAATATTTCTTGTTAAGATGGGATCAAATCCAAAAATCAAACCGACAATAGAATAAAAAAATAATGATTAATATGAAGGAGACATTACCTTCAATAACTTTTCAATTAAAAATGAGTTGTGGATTGATCCACATGATCCTCTTAAGTAATGAGGATGAAATAATTTCACCAAAAAAGCATATTGATGTTATAACTAAAGGACTCACTTTGCATCTTTCATCGCCTTTCACTTTTCACTTGATTGAAGTGCTCTACATCTACAATCACAATAAACACGTCTTAGACAAGAAATTAGTAATAAAATAATTATTCATCACTCTCTCACTATTGTTACAAACTTTGCAAAAATGTACATAATCATACCAAAAATGCATTCCTAAACGAACAAGACATTTACCTTGACCATTTTCGTAACTCTGGTGATTGTTGAAAGAGTATTGTTGAAAACTATGGTGATTTTGAGCTTCGCTCATCCCCTGTCTTTGCATATGAATTGGCTGATGATGAAGAAGATGATGATGATAAGGTAAAAACCCAGCATCTTGTATTTGGGTGATAGCTCTCATGTGGCCTGGAAAACCCTCACTAAATTTTGGGCCAATCTGAGCTGCACCCACTTGCCCAAATTGTCTCTGAGAAGGGTCGAAAGCTACATGGCCTCCAATTTGCCCATATATGTTTGGCCCCATAGGAGAATTTGTTGCACAATCCAATCCTGCAATTCCTCTGCCTTGTCCTTCAAATCGCATAGGCCTTCCATTGCCTCCTTGAATTGTTGGGTCAAATGGCATTAATGGAGGACCAAATCCAATCACTCTTTGTGTCTCTTGTCTTCCTTGCCCTAGTGCTTGTTGCCCCCCTTGTGAAATAGCTGCTGGCTGATAATTAGAACCTGTAACACAATTATTATCCACTAATCCCTTTCTCACTGTGACCTCTTGCCCTTGTAACAGAGAACTATAAGTACCATTAGCAGGTGCTAAATTTTGATTAGCATAACCATAAGTCATGTCACTACCATTATTGCTCCCTTGGTCCAAGGCAATTGACTCTTGCTCCACTGTGGACGATGGCAAAGCCAAACAATCCTTTCCTTGTTCTTGTTCTTGTTCTTCTTGTTGTCGTTGCAGTGCGTCTCTAAGCAGAGCAATCTCTCTTTCTAATTGTCTATACTTACCTAGAGGTCCATTGACAGGGTCTTGCTTCCACGTACAGGCTTCCCATATGAAAGACTCCGCAGCCCTACCCCTATGGTTCTTATCCTCAAGTTTTTTTAGCAACTTTGACGTGTTGCTAACTCCGAAAATCTTGTGCACTGCTCTGAAAGCTTCTTCCTTCTCTGTTGTGAAGTATGGAGCCATCACACAATCATCGTCACACTTCTTCCTTTGGTGCCGGCACGCCGCGCACGCATGGCGGCTGTTGAGCTCCCCACCATTGCCGCTAACCATTGACATGCTTGTACAATATAAATCTATACAAGTATTAGGTTATCTATGAAGTTAATATATTATACAAGGAGAAAAAAAAAAGAAGAAGAAGAAGAACAAAGAAAAGCACTAAAAGAGAAATACCAGGTTGAAGGTATATAGGGGAGGAAGAAGACGGATGAAGAGGGTGTTGTAGTGAAAGAAGGAATCAAAGAAGGCAGTGGTGAAATTAGGTTAAGCTTTTATATTTTTACTTTAACCCAAAGTCTATCTCTGATTATGTTCCAAAAAATCTACCCGTAATTATAATTAATTTATGCCCGCTTCCTATTACCTATCAACTGTAAGATTGCATGAAATCTTACCGACCACATTCCTTAGATATCAAGTTAATCATAGTCATTGTTTGATCTATAATGCACATGTGATTCTGCGAAAATCGAACTAATCGTAATCGTCAATGATATCGACCTACAAATTTATTGATTTATGATCAACGGGGACTACCCTTGTGGTTGTGGACTAGGGTAAGTGATCCGCATCACATAGAATTGTATGTGAATGTATAATCATAATATCAGGATTTACTTACCATACTGGAGATAATGGGTATATTAATTAATTATTCTAGTCCAATTTTATTAGGTTGGTGTGATAACGTTTAACTTGTCATCGATTTTAGATTATATAATCTAATAAAATTAACAATTATCCAAAAAGGATCTTCATATTCTTAAGTTTAAAATCATGAAAATAAATAAATATAAAAAGTTTCATTATACACGTTTTGTGATACGCAACTCAGGCCTTCTAATCCCGAGATTAGCATAAACTGGGCCTGCTTAGCTTGGTTAAGCCGAGACCAACCCAAGTACCAAAGGCTAGCTGCTACTAGTATTTGGGCTCTTGGAAACAGCCCAATTTCTAAATCTCCGTTTTTTTATTTTTTATTTTCTTGGTAAGGAAATAACAAATTGATATATAAATTCATGTGACATTTAAAAAAAAATTCATGGGTATGTATATTCTCCCATCACTCGGAACATATGCTAAAACTTCTTATGATCCCAAAACATTTGTCTTCCTCAGCTCTATATTCCCAAACTATGAATATTAGCAGAATCATTGACAGTCTTAGCTTAAAATATCTATTAAGTTTAATTTATCTTATCTTTAATCGGTTTATGCATATGAAAATCTGCCAACATGATAAGGGTACGTAGCCAGCCATCTGCCATGAGCTTTTGGCCTAGGTGGAGCATATTTAATTTAACAACTCTAATTAATTAATGAGAGAAACTGCATCGATATGATGTTTTTCTGATCAATTTTAAATCTAATATTATTATTTACATAATTAATTTTTATACATTGCATGAATCTTTTCTCAAGACTAATTATTTATTCTGATCTGAAAATAAAGATGCTGCTGCTGTGTGTACGTGGTGGGAATTGCAAAGATGAGTTCTTTACAATTCAAATTCTGACTATTTCTGTTGCTTTTTAGTATCCCAAAACAATAAAATGTAGTACGTACGACTCGTCCAAGAAGAAGAAAAATGACAATCTCCTTATCACCTCCTCACCATTTAAAAATTATTTATGTAAAAAATCAATCAAAATCGAGATTAATCATCTACATCTATTAGCTAAATCGAGTGGGAGTTCGTCATGTATAGATGATATTTAAATCGCACTTTTAAAAATGAGCTATTACGATTATGATATGCATATAGTGAAAATTCGTTAGTCACAACATATTGAACGAATATACACTCGAAAGGTATATATAAGAACTGTCCAAAACTAGGTCAATGCAAAACTAATCAAAATTAGATAGGTGCTCTTCAATTCCCAACGAGGATGTAGCCATGATTCGCGGATTAGTCATAAGTCATTTTATTTATAAACTTTGTTATTAAAGTCTCTTCAATGGTCTTCCAAGCGAGAATGTCCAGCCGCTTTCAGATAGGTAATCCTATCTTATATCTAGTTGATTGTATATTAATATGGCTAGGTGACTTCATATACTATCAATTTTATAGTTAGCAACATGATTACATCTCTCACATATATATATATATATATATATATGTACGGTTTAGGTGAAATTATTTATTTATGTACGAAATCTTACTTGAGTTTCAGATTCTCTTTAAAGATGTGATCGAGCCAGTAAATATAGTACATTTCTGATTAACTCTTGATATAGGACAGCACCAAAACACATAATGAGGTCTCCAAAACTCCAAAAAGTTTCAAGCAACATTCGAATTCAAAGGCAATTTCACTCTCGAACTCCAAATTTTATGTGCCAAACATATATTTTAAGCATGTTTTGATTTCAAACTTGAAACAGACTTAAAATTGTACGTATATATGGATATATAATATGTTGGTGGTGGCATGGCATGTGCAACTAGTTGAAGCATTTAAGCTTATCATGTTGTGTATTTACTACTTGCACGTTAGCATTTAGTGAAGGCTGTTGGCGCAATCTTTGCTAAGACACACATACCTATTTCATGTTGCATATTATTAGACTAATACCCTATTTATTGTAATCATGTGCAAGTGCAACATTTTTAAAGGACTTACTCAGAAGCCTTTGCTTCCAATTGGGGTGGAAGGTGATGACTAATTGAGTGACTGAGTGGTATAAAGTTGGTAAATTATTAAATTGGGAAGTATTTTCTTGTTAAACTATGAATATGAATTGTTAATTAGGTTAACGGATACGAATGTGTGACCAAATTCACAGTCTACTGATAAAAGCGTTTTTTTGGCACATGAGTATGTTAATTAGAACGATCATGTTTAGTTAATTGTTCTTAGGCCATGGTTCATATGAGCTGCAGGTTATGTGTGATGGCATGTTGTAATGATCATCGTGATGATATATATAATTGTCTAATGGCAAGTAAAGGACAAAGGCTCGACGATGGAGTTAATTGTTCCAAATCTGGTGCAGACAGATTGGTGAGAAGGAAAAAGCAATCTGATTGAAAAGGGAAAGCAAGAACACAAGCATAGAAATTGAATCAATAAATACAATACACACGTACACATACATACAGTGGGAGCAGAAGTTGAAGTTCCAAAACCCAGCAGAGCCAAACTGCCAAAGATATATAATTTAAAGCGAGGGATGGGGCATTGGACGCAGAGGATTCGCCATAAGTAAGCCAAAGTGCCAAAGCTGCTAGAAAACTAGTGTCCAGGTCCACTTCCAGTTGCTATAAATATGCGATGCCTTCTTCTTTCCTAGTTTCTGCATACTTTTCTGTCTGTCTCCCCCAAACACTTATATGCAGTCACACTCATACACACTCGCAGAGGCCGTGGTCCCATTTTGATCTAATGTCGTTATGGGCATGGGAAATATATAGATCAAACGTGGTTTTGAATTTTCATTTTTGGGTCAGTCAAAAGTTGTTTTGGTTTGATGGTTAGGTTTTGCATGTATCCAACCATTTAGGGTTTTCGATTGAAATTCAAAAGGACTTGAAGCTTGAAACATTCTGCATATCATTCAATATACATGATATTTTAATAGGAAACATTCTAATTAGCTACTGCCATGGTCCATGGTCTAATTAGCTACTACATATATGTAGTCCCTTTCAGACATATATATCCACCTTTACTATTATCAACTTTGACAGCTCCCTTTCCCCTCCACCCTTCCAAAATCCAAACCATAGTTCCCCACTCAACTTAGTTGAACTCTGCTCCGATGACTTTGAGCTTGTTGGGAACACAAAATTTTAAATTGTGCAAAGAATTTGCAACTCAAGTGGTTAAAAGCAGTTATCTCTGCACTCAAAGTCATGTATTCGAATTCCCTCTCACTCGCTTGTATTAAAAAAAAATCTGAATTATGCATTAATTTTAAGTCTAATTGCATCTTATTATAAGGAATTCTTAGTGTTTAATTGTCATATGTTTATCTAAAGACATTGGTAGATCAATTGGACCCCACATTTAGCTTGCTAGGCATTATAATATGCTTGGTATTGTTAATTACCACCACCCAAGTCCCAGGGGTTACAGAAGATGGCTTAGCCTTAGAAAAGGGGTGGGGTGTGGACATTGGACAAAGAGGCCAAAGAGGGATTTGGACTTTGTCATTTGAATAGTAACTGATGAGTTGGGAGTGAGCTTTGCATGTCGGAATCGAACCGACACAGCTTAGACCAAATCTTTACACCCTTTCCTCTCTCTCTCTCTCTCTCGGACACGCATAGCATAGTCCACACACAATAACATAGATCTGCTGCATGCTTTGATCTTCTCCCCCCAAGACCCCATGTGAAACTTTGCTGCTGCAATATTATGTATATATATATATCTCTGTCTCTGTCTGACTTTTATTTCCAAGCTATATATATATATATATATATATATATATATGCATGCACATAATATATATCGAACACCCTTCCATATTTTTTATATATGGAATTCTGATTCAAAATTCCAGTGTAATTACCCAATATTAAGCATCAGACTATAATAAATGTGTGCTCTTGATGTTCACAGATGGATCGAGTTCTCAATGCACACAAACAGCTCAGTCCCCAACAAAATTCAAGTCACTCCAATTCAGCAAATCGAGTTAGGATTGAGTAATTTTCTCCCTCAACATGCTCTACTTATCTTTTTGCCTGTTTCACTGCCTAACTCTCGACAAACAAATGGCAGAACAGACTTAATATTGCATTTAATCGTGTAGACCAAAGTGTGAATCTCTGCATATTTTAGGAATTTGATTCATTACCACTAAAATTAATTCTTAAGTAGTTTTATCTTTTCTTCGTCCCATTCATATTTCAACACGAGCCAGGACTAGAGGTCAACTCTATATCTCCCCGTGGGTCCGTTGCCTCAGATCTTTGTCAACGTTATTGTCTACCATACCAGATACCACAGTCAAGTCTACAAATAATATGTTGCGCATGAGATTAAAAAGTAAATCCTAGCCAATCAGGGAAGTGGTTAAGTCAAAGTTGAATTATCTCCCAATG